TAATTTTCTCCAAATTGCCTTTTGCCGTTTTGACATTGGACTCCCCTGATGATCTTAACTTCAGGCACAGCTCTATCCAGGAAATGTATTTTCTAGTTTCCGTTAGTTTTACTTGAAACCGGTTTTTCTTTGGTGTATTGTTCTTAGTATTAGATGTTTTTTCTTTGGAAACTGTGTGAATTTCCTCCAAGGTTCGAGCGGCAGCATAGACACAACAATTAACTTCATGTAATGAACAGTCCGATGAAAGTTTCATAGAAATAATATCATTTAATAAATTGATTTCATTTTGGGAAAAGATTCATTTGTTTGTTTAATTGGCCTCCGATTTTCTAAAGGTATGCCAGATATTTCATCATAAATAGAATGAAACAAAATATACACAGGATTTTCGGAAAGATCTGCAACTGAGGAAGAGGAAGAGTGAGGGTCTGAAATTTCGGGGCCAATTGGCTCTATGCCGGAAGAGTTTCCATCAGCAAGAGGAAAGAGGTTGACACGGACGTCCATTCGAAGTTTTGGGTCTGCTGCCACTTGAGCATTCTGTTCATGCAAAGGTTCCTGACGGGCACCAGTTGTGGGTTGAACTGGCTCACGGGGCAGAGATTTTAAGCCGCCGGAATTGATCTCGGAGATTTTGCTCCGTCAGGTAAGCATACATGGGCATGGCATTGTCCCAATGCAGCTTCAGCGACTTGCCATTGATACGTGGATTTTCAGGCCATCCTGTCGCTCTCGCACACTCAAGTAGTGTGGTTTTAAGGTGGTTTGACCAAGATATTCTTGGTCGGGTTCTGTGCCTTCCCCTGGGGCAAGTCCCATCTCCAGTATGGTTGGTGTCACTACCGGAGGAAGGCTGACTGGGCTGCGGAAGTGAATTTAAACTTTCCTTGGCTGTCTGTAACCCAGTGAAAACCAGCTTCGGGGGGTCAGCCCTAACTGGGTGATGCACGTTTGGTTCAGGGAATATAATTCCCCTATCTAGGCCCACCACGGAGAGGCGTACATCATCAGGCCCTTATTATTATTATTATGTTTTACAGATTAAAGATAATATGCAGCAGAGAGGGTTCGGGTGATCCTGGCACAGTCAGGCTGGTAAGGCTCATCATCAGCTCAGGGCCCTTGCCCCCTCTACACGCAGCCCAGACAGCGAATGGGACTTCTCCCAGGAAACGCTGCCTAGTCGAACCCACCAAGAACTTTCCGGAGAATATGAAGGCTCCCCAACACTGCAGCCTTCTGCATTACCCAGAGTGTCAGAAGGGCTGTACTCCCGGTGGAGAACCCGGCACTCTCCTGATCTGCGCCAAGAGATCAGGAGGTACCAAACCAAGGGCACCGAGAACAATGGGGAGCCTGACGACAGTGTACTTGGGATGCAAGCGAGACATTTCAAAGGCGAGGTCCGCATATTTATCATGCTTTTCCTTAATCTTGCCAATCACATTGGTGTCAAAAGGGACAGAAAATTCAATGATATAAATAAATTCATTGGCTTTATCAAAAAGGACAAGATCAGGTTTGTTAGCTGGAATTCTTCTGAGGCTGTATATGGGCCTATTCCACAGAAGTTTGAAAGCATCATTTTCCATGACGCCCTGGACATGTTCAGGGTCGTACCATGGATGGACCTCGGAGTCAAAGCCACAGGCATGTCGGAGACGGTAGTAAAAGCAACGAGCCATGCCATCATGTCGTTTAAGATATGCTGTTTGTGCCAAGGAAGGGCATCCACTGACAAGGTGTTGGACAGTCTCTGTAAATTCATTGCAAAGTCGACATTTCATGTTAATATTCTCTTTAAGAATCACATTTAGGCGATTACGAGTGGGAAGTGACTGGTCCTGAGCAGCAAAAAGGAAGCCCTCAGTTTCACATTTAAGACCAGCCGACTTCATCCAGGCGAAGGAGTCGGTGGGATTGCTATTCTGTTCAACACACTGCATGTACACACGATGCAATGGCTTCTCAGAAAGCTTCTCCACAAAAGACCGACTCTGGGCAGACTTGGTGAAGGACTTCACCTGGTTTACTCCCATCGCTGTACCGTCCAGCAGTACATTGCCATCAACAAAGTCAACCTCAAATTTCAGATTCTGTCCAACAACCTTGGCACGCTTAAAATAGCTGTGGAATTCCTTGCTTTCATCATGAGTCTTCACATGCATCACCAGAGGATCATCCGATAAATAAATATGTGCAAAAGTACACAATAAAATTCTATCATGAAGAGCCTCCACATTAATCAAACCCCGACCTCCAGAATTGATTGGCATGTATAAACGGTTAAGAGAGGAACGAGGGTGGTGGGCTCTGTTATCAGACATGATCCTTCTGGTCAGACGGTCAAGACTCTGATGTCTTGTTTTGTCCAATCAACTACTCCAAAGGAATAGGAGAGGACTGGCACAGCAAAAGTATTGGTGGCTTTGACCTTGTTTCGAGCATTTAGCTCTGAGCTCCAGATTTTCTTTAAACGAGATTTATACTCGGCCCGAAGTTTTTCTTGAATCTGGGCATTCTGGAGCTTGTCTCGAACTTGCATTCCAAGATAGGTGTAGGCCTGATCTTCCACAAGATGCTCAATAACTCCTCCCCCTTGTAACCTGACCGATCCATCATTAGTTACCTTGCCACGTTTCAAATGAAGAGTATTACATTTGTCGAGTCCAAATGTCATGCCAATATCATTAGAAAAGGACTCGACAAGGAGAACCTGCTCTTTCAAATTGGTATCTCCTTTGGCAAGGAGCTCGATATCATCCATGTAAAGGAGATGAGTAAGAGGTGTTGGGGATCTGTGCTGAGGAGGTCCGGGATGGTAACCCTCCTCTTTATTGAGCAGAAAGCTCAAAGGATTTAAAGACAGACAAAAAAGCAAAGGACTAAAGGAATCCCCCTGAAATATTCCCCTTCTGATTGGAATAGATTCCGAAGTCTGCACCTGCCCCAGCGAGTACATCTCAAGTTGAGTCGACCAGCAACTCATTAAAGACTTGAGTAAATCAAGTAGTCGCTGAGGGAGGTCAATACAATGAAGAGACTTCAGAATCCATTCGTGAGGGACAGAGTCGTATGCTTTTTTGTAGTCAATCCAGCACATGGAGAGGTTGCGGTGATATGTTTTAGCCTCTTCCAAAATCATTTTCTGTACAAGAAGTTGATCCTTGCACCCCCAACATCCCTTTCTTGCTCCCTTCTGCTCTCTGTAAATTATATCATTGGAAGAGCAGTAAGATGACACGAGGTTTGTCAAAACACCCTGTGAATATTTTGTATTGTGTATTCAAACATGTGATAGGGCGGAAGTTTTTGGGATCAGTCAAGTCTCCTTTCTTGGGGAGAAGTATTGTGCGACCTTTGCAGAACCATGGAGGAACATCACCTGTGTCCACAAGAGTATTGAAACAGTGTAGTAATGGTGTTTGGACACAGGGGAACAGTTTCCAATACCGGTTTCGAATGCCATCAGGCCCTGGAGCTGTATTAGATTTGGACTTTTTATAACACTTTTCAGGCAATCTGGTGAGATGTAACAGACAAACGACCTAGTTACCTTCTCATGCATTGCATGGTCATAATCACGGACCCATGGTGCCTCAAGGTTACAGTTGCCGGGTACAGACCACAACTGTTTCCAGAACCTTTCATTGGCATCCATGGGAGGCCGTTTGTCATGTTCACCATCACCCTTTGCTTTCAGTTGCCTGTAGAAGTGCTTTTCATTATTTCTAAACAGTTTATTTTGTTTGATGAATTTATTTTTCTTTTCATATTTTTTCTTTCTTTCAGTCCAAACCTTTATTTTGGCCTTAAGGGAATCGACAATTTGAAGAAGTATCTTTTCTTTCGTTGTTTTATATTTCAGTTTTAATTTTCTCCAAATTGTCTTTTGTCTTTTTGACATTGGACTCCCTGATGATCTTAACTTCAGGCACAGCTCTATCCAGGAAATGTATTTTCTAGTTTCCGTTAGTTTTACTTGAAACCGGTTTTTCTTTTGGTGTAGTCTTCTTAGTATTGGATGTGTTTTCTTTGAAACTGTGTGAAGTTCCTCCAAGGTTCGAGCGGCAGCATAGACACAACAATTAACTTCATGTAATGAACAGTCCGATGAAAGTTTCATAGAAATAATATCATTTAATAAATTAATTTCATTTTTGGGAAAAGATCCATTTGTTTGTTTGATAGGCCTCCGATTTTCTAAAGGTATGCCAGATATTTCATCATAAATAGAATGAAACAAAATATACACAGGATTTTCAGAAAGATCTGCAACTGAAGAAGAGGAAGAGGAGGGTCTGAAATTTCGGGGCAATTGGCTCTATGCCGGAAGAGTTTCCATCAGCAAGAGGAAAGAGGTTGACATGGACGTCCATTCGAAGTTTTGGGTCTGCTGCCACTTGAGCATTCTGTTCATGCAAAGGTTCCTGACCGGCACCAGTTGTGGGTTGGACTGGCTCACGGGGCAAGAGATTTTAAGCTCGCCGGAATTGATCTCGAGATTTTGGTTCCGTCAGGTAAGCATACATGGGCATGGCATTGTCCCAATGCAGCTTCAGCGGGATCTTGCCATTGATACGTGGATTTTCAGGCCATCCTGTCGCTCTCGCACACTCAAGTAGTGTGGTTTTAAGGTGGTTTGACCAAGATATTCTTGGTCGGGTTCTGTGCCTTCCCCTGGGGCAAGTCCCATCTCCAGTGTGGTTGGTTTCACTACCGGAGGAAGGCTGACTGGGCTGCGGAAGTGAATCTAAACTTTCCTTTTGGCTGTCTGTAACCCAGTGAAAAACCAGCTTCGGGGGGTCAGCCCTAACTGGGTGATGCACGTTTGGTTCAGGGAATATAATTCCCCTATCTAGGCCCACCACGGAGAGGCGTACATCATCAGGCCCTTATTATTATTATTATTATTATAATTATCATCATTATTATTATTATTATATACTGAAACATTTCACTTTCAATACCAATGACCATGTGCATATATGCTCATCATGAAATTGCGAAATTGCCATGTTTGCACGAAATTCATAACACGTGACTGGAATAATCATCTCTCCGCCATACATACTCCTTCCCCGTCCCCTGTCTGCCACACCTACACCTTCCCCATCCCTTGTCTGCCACACCTACACCTTCCCCATCCCTTGTCTGCCACACCTACACCTTCCCCGTCCCCTGTCTGCCACACCCACTTCTCTTCCCTCATCCCTTTGTCTGCCACAATTTACTCTTCCCCCATCGCCTGTCTGCCACACCTGCTACTTCCCCTGTCTCCTTTGTCTTCCACACCTACCACCTTCCCCATCCCCTTTCCTGCCACACCTATATTTCCCCTGCCCCCTTGTCTGCCACACCTACACCTTCCCTGTATCCCTTCCCTGTCTGCTACACCTACTCCTTCCCTCATCCCCTGTCTGCCAAACCTCTACTCCTTCCCTGTCCCCTGTCTGCCACACCTTCTCCTTCCCCATCACCTGTCTGCCACACCTACTCCTTCCCTGTCCTCTGTCAGCCACACATACTCATTTCCTGTCACCTGTCTGCCACACCTACTCTTTCCCTGTCCCTTGTCTGCCACACCTACACCTTCCCCATCCCCTGTCTGCCAAACCTACTCCTTCCCCATCCTCTGTCTGCCACACCTGCTACTTCCCCATCCCCTGTCTGCCACACCTACTCCTTCCCTGTCCTCTGTCTGCCACACATACACCTTCCCCATCACCTGTCTGCCACACCTACTCCTTCCCTGTCCCCTGTCTGCCACACCTACTCCTTCCCTGTCCCCTGTCTGCCACACCTACTCCTTCCCTGTCCCCTGTCTGCCACACCTACTCCCTCCCTGTCCCTGTCTGCCACACCTACTCCTTCCCTGTCACCTGTCTGCCACACCTTCTCCTTCCCCTGTCCTCTGTCTGCCACACACCTACCTCTTCCTCCCCTTGTCCCGCCACACCTACTCCTTCCCTGTCACCTGTCTCGCTACACCTACTTTTCCCCACCCCTTTGTCTGCCACACCTACTCCCCTTCCCCTGTCACCTCACCCGTCTGCCACACCTACCTTTCCCCACCCTTTGTCTGCCACATACCTACTCTTTCCCCACCACCTGTCTGCACACCTACTCCTTTCCCCTGTCCCCTGTCTGCCACACCTACTCTTCCCCACCCCCTGTCTGCCACACCTACCTCTTCCCCGTCCCCTGTCTGCCACACCTACCTTTCCTGTAACCTGTCTGCCACACCTACTCCTTCCCTGTCCCCTGTCTGCCACACCTACTCCTTTCCCTCTGTCCCTGTGTGCTGCTACACCTATACCTTTCCTGTCCCCTGTCTGCCAACTCACTCCTTCCTATCCCCTGTCTGCCACACCTACTCCTTCCCTGTCACCTGTCTGCCACACCTACACCTTCCCCATCCCCTGTCTGCCACACCTACACCTTCCCCGTCCCCGTCCCCTGTGTGCCAACCTACTCCTTCCTATCCCCTGTCTGCCACACCTACTCCTTCCCTGTCACCTGTCTGCCACACCTACTCCTTCCCCATCCCCTGTCTGCCACACCTACTCCTTCCCTGTCACCTGTCTGCCACACCTACTCCTTCCCTGTCCTCTGTCTGCCACACATACTCCTTCCCTGTCACCTGTCTGCCACACCTACTCCTTCCCGTCCTCTGTCTGCCACACCTACTCCTTCCCCATCACCTGTCTGCCACACCTACTCCTTCCCGTCCTCTGTCTGCCACACCTACTCTTTCCCGTCCTCTGTCTGCCACACCTACTCCTTCCCGTCCTCTGTCTACCACACCTATTCCTTCCCCGCCCCCTCTCTGCCACACCTACTCCTTCCCGTCCTCTGTCTGCCACACCTACTCCTTCCCTGTCACCTGTCTGCCACACCTACTCCTTCCCCGTCCCCTGTCTGCCACACCTCTACTCCTTCCCGTCCCCTGTCTGCCACACCTCTACTCCTTCCCCGTCCCCTGTCTGCCACACCTCTACTCCTTCCCGTCCTCTGTCTGCCACACCTACTCCTTCTCCGTCCTCTGTCTGCCATACATGCTCCTTCCACGTGATAAAGTGATCTATCTGGTGTAAGGATATCACTCAATGCTAACCTTAAACGGTTTGGAAATAGCTTGATTTAGTTGGAAATACTCTGGTATTTGGTCCACATTTTCTTATTCACAGATCAAAGGCGTTGTGTTGGTGTAGGTGTACTCGGTGCGATGGGCAGGTTCCAGCCTCAGCCTGGTCAGGTTCATTCACGTTTCAAGGTCATACATAATAGATCAGAACGGCTGAAATGAAAGACAAACATTGATTCTGTGCCATTTAGTTCTATAGCGGGTACCACCATGGCACCATGTACTATTTGTGGATGAGTGCAGCTAAAGCTGGTTGTCATGGACGAGCGCTCGTCGGACGCCAAAGAGATGTAGCTATTTATAACTAGAAGCAATACCAGGCGCGGAAGATCAATATGTGTTTTGCCCTGTCGTTCACAAGACCGTGACCGAATTAATCTAAAAGATGCCAGGTGTTGCCATGGTAGCCCCACATTCAAGTCGCTTCAGCATAGCGCTGTATGCTGGCATGTTAGATATGTTGTCCAGTGTTATTAATCATGTTACATTTTAAATATAATATACTTATAGAAACTAATAAGGGGATACATGACTGTACAAGGGTTCCAATATTCTTTTCCACGTTTCTTTGCATGTTTCGTATTGAATTGTGGATAAAAATATGGGAATAAATAAATGTATACTTGTACTGATGTCTGCAGGGAGCATTGGCGGATCCAGAGGGGGATTCAGGGGGTTCGAACCCCCCCTTTTGAAAATGATTTAAGGCCACATTGACGATTTTTGGGCGTTGGCGGAGCAAATGGGGGGTTCGAACCCCTGAACACCCCCCCCCCTTTCAAAATTCCTGGATCCGCCCATGTCCCTTTTTTGTTTCCATCATTATATATACTAGACACATAAAGAAACTGTGCATACAAAAATTTAAAATCTAAATTTATCAAACCTGTGTAGACACATAAGGATTTAAACTCAGAGATTAGTGACATGTATCCAACATGCATGCACGTGCCACGTTCCGTGACGTCAGTGGGTTCGTCCTTGAGACGTGCAATACGTTGTTGCACGTGCATTCCGGGAAAGAGAAACAGAGCAAATGAATGCCACACAATACTGTCGCTTTGGAAAGCTCAACCCTTGCCCTTGCGATCGTTCAGAAAATTAAACGGCTATTGAAACGCATAGCATGCCAAGGCTCACGTCTGCACAACGTCATGAGGCCATTAGGATGGTCCGTGGGGGAATGTCTCAACGACAAGTGGCTGCACATTTCCACTGCCACCGGAACACCATTTCTGCACTGAGACGCTACCAGAACACAAATGACGTCATCGATCGGCCACGTTCTGGACGTCCACGTGTAACAACGCCAAGACAGGACAGATAGATAAGGGTGACCCATCTTCGCCACAGGTTTCAGACTGCAGTGGTGACTGCCCGAACCATCCCAGGACTTCGCCGTATCCACCCCAACACAGTTCGACAACGTTTACGTCATCACGGGATCAGACCACGACGTCCCGCCATACGGCCTATCCTGACACAACGTCATCGACAAGCTCGCCTGCCCGAAGTCATTTTATAATGCTTTATCGCAAAGATTAAAAGATATGTACATTCAGACCTGGAACTCATCTTTAATACAGTCGCCCAAATCCACTTTTTACAGTACTTTTAAATCTTTTTTCCATACAGAGCAATACCTACACGATATCAATCTTAGAAAATTCCACGTTTCATTATCCAGATTTAGATGCTCTTCACATGATCTTATGATCGAGAAGGGCAGATATTATAATATACCAAGAGATAACAGATTGTGCAAATTTTGTGCACTAAATGTAATTGAAGATGAATTCCACTTTTTGCTGGTATGTCCTTACTATGCTGATTTAAGGACAAAATATCTACCACAATATTACTATTCACATCCTACCATGTTTAAATTTAATTTGATAATAAACTCTAATAATACAACTTATATTCGTAAACTTGGTATGTATATCCACCATGCTTTTGAACAAAGAAAATAACGTTTGCAAACATTGTGATTGTATGCCATTATTGTTTTTATATTTTGTACTATAGGCCTGTAATGGAATAAAGAGATTTGACAAGCTCGCCGAATGTGGTGCCGAAATCATGTCCGCAGACACTTGTTTTGGTGGAGAAATGTTGTTTTTACAGATGAGTCCAGGTTTAACATTTCCCATAGTGATGGACGTCAACGTGCGGGTGAACGTTTTGCACAGGCCTGTGTCTTGGAGAGGAATCGCTTTGGTGGTGGTTCCGTGATGATTTGGGGTGGAATAACAGCACGCCAAAGAACTCCTTTGGTGATTGTTCAGGGCAACTTAACTTGTGTGGGCTACAGGGATCAGATTCTTCGACCTGTGGCAATTCCTTTTCTGCAACGTCATGGCCCTGGGTTAACATTCCAACAGGACAATGCCCGCCCTCATACGGCAAGGGTTGCTATGGATTTCTTGCAACACCACAACGTTGACTTACTGCCTTGGCCTGCAAATTCACCGGATCTCTCCCCGATAGAGCATGTTTGGGACGAGATGGATCAACGTCTACACAGTCTTCCTCATCCGCCAGATAACGTCCTTGGCCTTGCAACAGAATTTTAGAGAATCTGGCGTGACATCCCACAAGCCTTCCGTGCACGTTTGATAGGCTCTATGCGTCGTCGATGCACTGCTGTTCTCAATGCCGATGGTGGACATACCCGTTATTGAGCTTGTGACATGGTCGTTTGACCCCTGTCCCGCTTGTGGACTCGTGACGTCATTGTGATTGACTTTTCAATTGAAATTCTCCCGACTTGTTATGGTCTCATGATCCCTCCATTAAAGTTTATATGTACCTTTGACATTGTTATCGTACTTATCAACAGGGATAATATTTTGATAATGCACAGTTTCTTTATGTGCCTAGTATATATTATGTACCAGTCCTTTACCCAGCCTCCCAAAGCCGACCTATTGATGATTATGATTCCTATCATCGTATTACTCCATGTCTAAAGTACACTGATGTAGCAGGCCGCATGCCTGTATTATATGTTTGACGCTTATGTTTAGAGAGGGACGGGGCATGTGGAAGAAATGTGTAACAGTGAACAAATGTTTGTTATCCCCACAGAAACGCCAGGGGCTTGATACTGGAGAAACGTCCTCTATCCACGGGTATTGAACACATCACCATTTATTGTCGGCCAATTACCCAGATATGTGGAGGTGAGTCCCTGCTCACAGTACATCCATTGCTGGCGGTACAGTCGTATCGGAGATTCTCAACACGTGTCACTCTAGCTGAAGGCTGTTGATATACTTGACACCGTGCTGGTGGAATCAACTATCTATAACCAAGAACGCGCTGATGCAGATCGACTGCACTCTCACAAACACCATATTACATTACCGTGTTCACCTATAAAGTTAGACACTACTGCTCGCTGCAGCTGTAGGATGTTGTATTCTGTACAAGCGACGTCAGAACGCAGATACAATCACCTTTTACTGATGCACAATTGTTACATTCAGGTTCAGTTAGATACAGACTTTCATACATATAAGGCATATTAGTATTCCATTTAAATAGTTATATGCTTTATAAAGTCTGTGTCCGTCCGCTTGAGCTCCGTACCTTTCGGTCCGACTCAATAACACGATCGGGTGATCAGGCTGGCTAACTTGGTGGATGCATCATATCAGAGTTATGTACACCGATGCTCATGATGTTGATCACTGGATTGTCTGGATTACTGGATTACTTAAAAACCGCCGTCACACAGCTGACAAATTGCTGAGAGCGGCATTAAACAACAGACAAAGAAACAAACCCAAGGTCCATCTGTTAAATGGGCCATTGATCATATATGCTCTTGTGTCTGTTGAGAGGCCACAGTGTTGCACTTGACCAGTTCATTGTTTCAAGGGGTGCTTGGCATGGAGACTTTGTCTGTTGCTCTCCGATGTACTTACAACACGTACACTTATAGATCTGTACTTTGACTGTTTGAACATCCGCTGTTCGTAATAGTGGTGGCACATGAACACTTCTGACCTGCGATTACACACATGTTGTTATTATTATACGATATCTATATAGCGCACATATCCAGGCAACTAGTGCATGCTCAAGTCGCTGATATTTTTCCCCTCGATCATTGGATGTCAATCTCAGTGGCACATCGTATTATCATCTCAACTCCCTGGGGAGTATACAACTCTTGCAGCCACTAGGCGCACCGAGTTATTGTGGCTTTCTCATCCTAACGAGGTACCCATTCACAGCTGGGTGGACTGGGACACATAGTCACAGTTCACTGCACATTGTTGTGTACATTATGTACGTAAATTAGAAACCCTTTCAACGTCCAGAGTAAATCTCTGCTAAAAGCAGAGTAGACTGTACAATTGTGACAATGTCGTAAGCATTTGTTTGTTTCAGCAGTATTGCAGCTGATTTGTTTGTAAACAAATCTGGACCAGACAATCGAGTGATTGTCACCATGCGATACGATGACAGAGCATGTGTTTCTGAATCACTATGCAATAGTGATGACACCAGGTGTTCGGGAAAAGGTAGCGTATCCTGCCCCACTGGTGGCACCCGTTATAAACATATGTAAAATCTAGTCATTTGTTCACCTGAAATAAGTCGTGAACGTAGGGTATAAGTCAAAATAAGGAATTGCATCGGACAAAAAGAAATTCACTCATGCATCAAATTTGGAAATTTCTTCCATGCACATGTCAACTTCTTGACAGCTTTACTGAGCCTTGAATTTTGTAACCTTGATAAAAAAAAATTCTGAACGAGAGTGGCATGACGCTCTTTGAAGAGAGCACGCTCAACTGTACCTCAAAAGTTGTGAAATGTAAATACCAAGGCCTGGAGCTTTTGGAATATTGCTAGACATGAAAGGGATGTTGACTATTTGGAAAGTTGAAATCATCCCCTTTGTCATACAGCGTTGTAGAGATTTTGTCACTCTGA